TCTAGGATCTTCTCATTTTCATATGAATTTTGGAATCAGCTTCTATGTTTCTTACAGAAAAGACTGCTAGTTTTGATTAGAATTTTAGTTATATTGATCAATTTAAGGAGGATCAATATCTTAACAATATTTAGTCTTTGGACCCTAAACAGGGTATATCTCTCCATTTATTTGTGTCTCCTTTAATTTCTTTGAGAATGTTTTGTAGTTCTCAGTGTACAGGTCCTGCACATATTTTGTCAGAAAAAGTAAAATTTTAAAAATCATTGCTAATATAGAAAAATGTGCAATTAACTTTCTACATCAATCTAGTATCCTATAGTCTTGCTATTAAACTCACTTATTAGTTCTAGGATCTTTCTTTTGTAGATTCCTCAGAATTTTTTACATAGACAATTATGTCATCTGTTAAGTAAAGACAGATTTCTTTCTTCCCAGTCTAAATGTTTATTTATTGCCTGATTGCACTGGTTAGAACCTCCAGTAGATTGTTGAATAAAAGTGAGGCGAGCCAATATCCTTGTCTTATTCCTGATAACAGGAGAAAGCCTTCAGTCTTTCACCATTAAGTATGCTGCTTTTGTAGATGCTTTTAATCAGATCAAGAATGTTTCCTCATGTTCCTGATTTGCTGAGAATTTTTATCAGAATTATGCCGAACACTTTTTTGTCTATTGAGATTATCATATGGTTTTCTATTTTAGTTAATATGTTAAGTTATATTGATATTTGAATGTTAAACCAACCTTTCATTTCTTGGATAAACCCCACTTTGTAATGAAGTATCCCTTTGACATATTGTTAGACTTAATTTGCTAAAATATTTAGACTTTTGCATCCGTTCATGAGCAATATTCATCTTTGGTTTCTTTCCTTGTAATGTCTTTGGTTATGGTATCAGGGTAAAACCGACCTCATAGAATGTTAGTATGTATTCCCTCTTGTTTTAATTTTTTGGAAGAGGTTGTGAAAAATTGGTATTGTCTTTAAATGTTTGGGAGAATTCTTCAGTGAAGCCCTCTGGGCCTGGGCTTTTCTTTGTGGGTAGTTTTCTGTTTTTAATTACTTGTCCTTCTTTTCACTAACCTGTGTTTCTATATTTAAAGTTCATTTCCTGTAGGGATCACATAATTGGTTTTTTTGTGAACCCTTTAAACGTGAGGAAAAACTTGACCACAAGTCTATCAGATGATTTCCCCTCAGTTTTTTGTGGCTAGGACTGTGTCCAGGGCTTGCACTAAACCAGTCACTGGGCAGAGGGGAGCAACGGAATTCCCATGATGGCTCAGCCCTATGCATTTAAAGGTGTGAGCTCCAGACCAGTAATACCAGCGTCACCTGGGAAGTTTAGAAATTCAGATTCTTTGACCCTACCTCAAAACTACTGAGTCAGAACCTTAGGGGGTGTAGCCTAGCGATTTGTGTTTTAACAGGCTTTTTAAGTGATTTTGATGCACCAAATATTGAGAACGACTGGTCTTAGACTAATGTTTACTTAGGGGACTAGGGAAATGTACCTGGACAGTTCAGAGGCCTATTAGCAAGGAAGGGTGGAAGGTATTATTACTTACTTATGTAATTACTTAGGTAATAATCTTGCCATATTAAGACTGAGGTAGGGCCCAGGAATATGAATTTCTTTTTAAGTTTTTTTTATTAATATTTTTTTACATTCTGTGATGTTGCGGAGCAGTTGCGGGGTGAGGGGGAAAGGGGAGATGGGAAGGAAATAGGGTGGGAGAAGGAGGAAGGAGGAGGGGTGGGGTTGAGACTTGTGGTACCCCATTCATTCCTGCAGGGGAGACCAGAAGGCTTCCAGCGGTAGCTTGGTCATTGCTGGGCTGAGTGCAGATGTCAGAGGTGTGGTTGAAGCCCTCGCCCCCCACTGCCCTGGCTCAGGAGAGCCTGGGATGTGGTGGCTTGGTGGTGGTTGCTAGGCTGGTTATGAGTGTTGGGGGTGGGGTGGGCATGGCTGAGGCCCTTGGCCACCCACCACCCCAGCTCGGGATCTCAAGGAGCTTCCTACAGTGGCTTAGTGGTTGTCGCTGGGCTGGTTGTGATGCCGGGGGGCGTGGCTGAGGCCCCCAACCCCCCCTCCTCCCTGGCTTTGTAGCCCAGGAGAATTGCAGTCCTTCTAGGTGTTATAGGTGTTCTTTGGTGATGTGAGACCTTTACTAGTTAATATCAAACTTTGTCTCTGGTCTGTGGGTGTTTAGTTTTTTCTTTCAGTTCTGTGTTGGATTATTTGCTGTTCCTACTGCTTGAACTCTGCACTGGAACTAATTAGTTGTCCTTTGTTTACTTCTAAAATAGGGGATCTTCCTGTGGGGACCAATACTTGAGCTCTGTGGTTGAGCTACATTGCTGCTTTGCTGCTGATTCCCTAAGGAATGCTTTTTGTGCAGCTCAGGTTTTAATGGTTGACTTTATAGGTACTTCTAGGCCAGTGATATTGGTATACCCAGGTCGTGTGGAAACTCTGGTCTGGGCCTGAATCTTTTCAGAAAAGTGTACCCCCTGTGGTTCTATTTTCCTGACCAGTCTCCACTGAGTGGTCCTATGCTGATTGGGGTGCAGATCAGCTGTCGTTGCTGTGCCCCAGTGTTCTCCCCGTGGGCCCGTCTACCCCATTGCCCGTGCTCCAAACATTTCCCATGGAACAGGCTGTGCACCGGTCCCTTGTGATGACTCACTGGCTTCAGAGTGGCTCCTTTTTTTCAGTAGTTCTGGCTCTTCACACCTATGTGGGTCCACGGGAACCTTGTTAGTAGTCTTGCTGGTCTGCGGGCCACCAAGGCCCTCTTCTCCCCTGCCACTTCCAAGCAACTTCATAGGAAGGGCACAGCTGCGGCATTTTCCAGCTTCTGCTCTTTCCAGCTTCTGCTCCGTGCACTTAGCAGCTCCAGCCTGGAAATGGCCGGGATTCGAAAGGTCGGAGTGGTTCTTTCTTTCTTTCATCATGGCTTCTCCTGCCTTCTTGCACTCCACAGGTCTCTCCTCCTCTTCCCCTGAGCACTAGTGGCCCAAGCTTGGCTGTCATTACTTTTTAATAGTTGTTAATTGGTTGATTTGTGAGAGAGAGTGATGCGGGGGTCCATCTATTCCGCAATCTTGACCGGAAGCTAGAAATATGAATTTCTAACTAGTTAACATACTGTTGAATATACTGTTGATGGATACAGGAATATGGACCACACTGAGGAAAGAAAGATATATTGGAATTACTGTTAAGTCAGCTGAGAGATATTCTAGACGCTTCATCTACAACAGGAGTCAGCATACTGTGTCCCAAGGGCAAATCAGTTCTGTTGCCTGTTTTGTATAGTGGGTGTATTAGTCTGTTTGTGTTGCTCATAACAAAATACCTGGAATTGGGTGGTTTATAAGAAAACAAAATTATTGCTTTGTTTTGGAGGCTGGGAAGTCCAAAGTCCAGGGAACATAATTGGTGAAGGCCTTGGTGGTGGCCACAGTGATGGCAGGGTATCACATTTCGAAATGGCAGAGCAGAGAGAGGGACAGACTCTTCATGCTCTCCTTTGAAAGCCCTCAGAACCACGCCCCTGACCACCGTTATTAATCCATTCACTATGGCATGGTCCTACAATCTAATCATCTCATCAAGAACTCACCTTTCAGTTACCTCAATAGGATTTTCCACCCTCTTAACAATCACAGTGGGGGTCAAATTTTGGGGGGACACTTATTCCAAGGCAGCTGGTAAGATAGGTTTTTACACTTTTAAATGATGGGAAAAAATCTAAAGGTGAAAATCATGAGAAATTTATCTTTCAGTTTATGAATAAAGTTTATAGGAACACAGCCATGCTTATTCATTTACATATTGTCTATGATGCTTTTGGTCTGGAATGGTGGAGTTGAGTATAGTTGCAACAGAGATTGTGTGGCCTGTAAAGCCTAAAATATTTATTAGCTGGCCCTTTACAAAAAAAGCTTGCCAACCCTGATACATAAGAATAATTTGCCAAAGAATAGTACATTCCTTAACCATCTTTGATAACTGATAAATTAATAGGTGGGAGTCCTGTCTAGAACAGTAAAAGTGTGAATAATGAAGTACATTGTTTCAAGAATAATGTGCTCATTAGAATTATGGTAACTTTGAAGGAGGGTTACTTTAATGAGATTTGTAATTAGAATAAGCCTAGGTTAGTGAGGTCAGTTACTAGAACCAGCAATTGCGGGGAGATATTTTCCCCTACTTCTTAATTAACTTTTTATTCCTCAAGGTAAACGTTTTTGTATAACCCTATCACTGAAAATATTCTAAAATTTACCATCGTATACCATATCAATAAGAGAAAACCTTTATTATAACTTGCAGTGCCTCCAGGTAGTTATTTTGAATACTACCCATTACTGTGTAACAGTGTAGATGCTGAAAGTGAGGTCTTTATAAAGTGTATCTTTTCAAGCTGCTTGTTTGGCTTTAATGAAAAAGAAGCCAAATTTAGTATAGATTTGAAATGAGGGAAATATTTGATTACTTAAGGGTTCAGAGAATCAACAGACAAGAGAATCAACAGACAACTAATCTTGTGCTTGGAGTTTGAAAAAAAAAAATGAATAAGATTTGCCTTGTTTGCCATGTCATGTTTATATCCATTCGCCCAAGTTTATATCAGATTCTGTTGCAGAAGAGAGAGATGCAAATGTTCATTTCTAGACATGCGAAGTGAGAAGATCATCATGGTGCCTGTTCACAGCTAGATCGGCAGCAAAAGCCTCTGACCTCTGACTCTCTGAAACACAGTTAAAGGGAAAATTGTTAGGCTTTTTTTGGAAGTTCTTCTCATGAGGTTACAGAAAGAGTCATATTCTGTTCGGGGATATTTGCCTGTTAAAAATGATTTTTGTTACTTGAAGTACTCAAATATGAGTATTGTTTCCATAGAAACTGTTAAATACATGTTTTCTCCAAAAAGAGGTATTCTCTCTATACCTATGTCATACCTATAATGTAGATTTCTTTTTTTAAGGTTATACGTTGGCTCTTCAAAGACGTTCACCCCATCTGAGAAATCCCTGAATCCTTTGCAGTGGTGTAGACATGTCCTAGATAACCCGACTCCAGAGATGGAAGCAGCCAGACGTTCCCTGTGCTTTAGACTGGAGCAAGGTAATTGTGAACGTGTGCGTTTACATTCTCCAACTCTCGCCACTCTCAGCTCTGTTTTTGTTGCTGATTTTGGAATAGCCAGTTCAATTGAAAACCTTACTATGAGGTGCAGCTGTTGCATGCCATTCATTTTACATCAGGGTCATTCAACATATAGGGTATACTTAGTTTTGTGTTACATTTTGTAGCCAGATTTTTAGCTTTTTTAGTTTGTGTATAACATAGGAACACATCTCCCCCCCCCCGCCCTGTATTTTTTCTGTTTGTAAATATACTGATAAGTAAAATGGGTCAGTCTTCAATTCTCTGGGGTTGGTAACAAGTTGCATGGCTGGAAACTGGGGTACCACTGGAATTTGAGCACCCACCTTATTGAACTACTTCAGTGTTTAGACATATCACTGGAAGTCCTAACCTTTATGGACTGGGAAATAATCTTCAT